ATTTCCAACACGTCTGTGTGTCTGATTTTAAAATTACATACCAACATGTGTTTCCTTTTCAACATGTACAAAGACATTTCGTATAAATTTGTGCAGCGAATGCACAACTTTCTTGAGACGTCCTCGTAAAATGATTTTAAATATTAACGTGATGAATGTTGAGGAACCTGCCCAGACTCGATCTCTGTGGTCGGGCGTAATCGAACTGACAGCTGATCAAATGAGCAGCTGTAGATTTTAAATTCAGACTATTTTGTTAAGACATTCTCCAGATTCTCACTCCTGGTGGACGTTGGCCACAGTGAGTCTATGGCTCGTGTTAGTTTTGCACTCTTTACACACTTTTGCAACAAGGACTTGAACCTTTTACTATACGTTCAGACCGAAAGTGGCAAGAATGTCAAACTGACCAGAAGTCAGAAATTCATTTTCTATGTGAGCCAGCGTCTCTTTGTGGCAAGCAGCGGCGTGACTGTTGGCGGCACATCTTGTGCGGTGTGGGCATTAGAAAAATTTGAAGTCCAGGCAACTGTATGGTAATGAGCTATGACATTGTTCAGCAGCAACCAATCAGAATGTAGAAGCGCTCTGCTCTAGAGAAACAGGAGGGAAGGAATTTCATGCTAACTAGCATCTGATCTGAATCAGTCGTTAACGTTAACAACGCTAATTTAAGATTTCATCTTGCAAACTTAGACCATACTAGTTGTCAGTTGGTAATAATATACTGACAAACTGCTGCAAGCTGCTATAACCAGGAAGTAGATTGTCTTCTCTGCAGTAAATCCTCTGAAGGAGGAACAGCAAAGACAGTTGTAGCATTAAAATAGAGAATGTAAGTGAACAACAGCTGCTAGCAAAGACAACAAGGTCAGTAACTCTGTCATTCATTATCATGTTGTATTCACCACTGGTGCCAATCAGGAGAGGCAGAGCGAATTCTCTTGCTCTCGCTGCTTTCGGTCTGAATGTACGAGTCCAGCTTCTCAAATATGGAGGATTTTTTACATTCATCATTTAAATACTTCCCTCTGAGTTGGAACAAAAGTAAATACAGGAAGTAGCCATGTTTGCTAGCTGCATCTAGATCCAGCGCAAGTTGTCCGCTGGTTTAATCACAAAGCGCTCCCCCCCAAATAATATCTTGGATGGAAATGCCACAGTAACCTTACTCCCCCTAATGGTAGGGAAAGTTTGTTGCTCCATCCACAGACCCTGTTGTAAAGAGTTTTTCCTCATTGGTCTGTGGCTGTTCGGCATAAACTGGACATAGTTTCTGGAAAGTTGGACTTTGCTGATGAGTTTGTCAAATGTAATTCATCACTGCTAAAAGCAACACAGTTTTTGTTTCAGAAGAAAATGTCTTGACTATTATATGTCAAATATATTCACACACAGTGTTCCATTAAATTTGGTTCATTCATGAATGAATCCTGATGACATCTTTGATCCACTGACGATTCATCGTGTCAAACTTTGCACTCACGGACATGTTGGAAATATCCTTTTTGTTTTACTTTTATTTCTATTTGTTTGTTTCAGTTTTTGAGTATCATGAGGAAAATGTTCCTAAAATCAAACGTCCCCTTTTTCAGAGGGTGGGGCGATGAGGGAGAGGGGGACGTTGGTTTGTGTGTCTGTCCTCCTCCTCATGTATTCTGTCTCTGTGACCTCCTCGTGCTGAATTATAATAAAGCATTTCAAAGATTAGCTGCGAGTGTGTGACAGACACACAGCGGAGGAATATGGATGTCAGGTGATTGCATCATACAATACTGTGTGTGTGTGTGTGTGTGTGTGTGTGTGTGTGTGTGTGTGTGTGTGTGAGAGAGAGAGTGAGTGAGAGAGGGAGGGCATGAAAATGAACAATATGTTTTTGTGTTTGTGTGAAATTTTTTCTGCCACTGTGCTGCCACAAGATGGAAGCTGTGTGTGTGTGTGTGTGTGTATGTGTATGTGTGTGTGTGTGTGTGTATGTGTATATGTGTGTGTGTGTGTGTGGGCTTGTCATCTCAGTAATGGTGTTGCTATCAGAGAGAGAGAGAGGGAGAGAAAGACAGAGAGGCTGGTTGTCCCTGACGACGGTGCGCCGTGTTGCCTGGCAACAGCGCTAACAATGGCCCACCACCAGTGTTCTAGAATGTGGGCGTGGCCTGAGAGAAAGAGAGCGAAGGAGGGTCGGTGGTGGTGGGGGGGCACTTTTCTCTCAGCAGAGATTAATCGTGACACAAACCGCTGTGACGTAAATGATTGATGTTTATCGACTGTGTCAGAAATCTGCAAATAAAGCTTCAATTAAATCAACAAACAAACAAGGTTCAGAAACAGAAACACGGCAGAGAGGAGAGAGATGGTAAAGATTTATTTTCATATTTTCCTAATAATTTCTTCCAAAATGTAATTTGGTACTAATTATAGTAATTATTAGTAATATGAAGACTGTTGAATTGGTACACTTTGAATTAATTAATTCCCATTAAGGATGAGTGTAACAGTCTTTCAGTCAGGAAAGGATTTCTCTGCAAACTATTGAACATATATAAAGAATTAAGTTTTGAATAATAAATCAATAGCAAATTAAAAATTACTTCAGTTTAAAGGGATCAGTTTATTATGGAAATGTATATTTTTCTTATAATTAGTGTCATACAAACTTCTGTCTCGGAAAATATTGAAAAGTATGAATAAACAGATAAAACATTATATCATCTTTTCAGTTTAGTCGAGGAGACGAACCAGTTCGGACTAAATGTCGTTCGACCACGTCTAAAGACTCGAGTGTTTGTCGGGTCTGACTCAGAGTGTGTTTGTGATCTCAACACAATCAATCGTACACGTGGTTAACGTTGTACATGTTCCAAGAGCATCTCCTCGAAGACGTCGCACTCACAACTTGACGAACTTCGTTTGAAGTCACTCTGAAGTCCTCATAATTCTGGTGACCTCTTCCAGTGCCACAAGATTTAAATCCTCAGCTATTGTATTTTTGATCAAGACTCCCAAGTTTCACTTAGCAACCATTTTATTAGGTAGATGTTTGACTTAAAGTGCAGGACCCCCCCTTGGCCTGGATCTCTTGGTGTCTTCAGATTAGTCAGCTGCACATTCATTCATGCCGACAGTCTCCTGTTCTAACTTCCCAAAGGTGTTCAACTGGATCCAGGGCGGGAGACTGTTGACGCAAGGCAGGTTGGGTCCATGGATTCAGACTCTGACTCCACCATCTGCACAAATGAAACACAAACTGTCCAGCTTTGGTGAGACTCAGGTTTCTGGTCTTGGTGACAGGAAGCAGAACCTTACATGGTCTTCTGTTGTTGTAGGTCGGACGTGTTGTTCACACTGAAGCTTCTCTGCTCAGCACAGTTATAAAGAGTGGTTATCTGAGTGACTGCAGCTTCTCTGTTTGTCCATTCTCCTGACCTCTGGTCACCACAGAGCTGCTGCCCATTGGTATTTGTCTGACGTCTAATTTTTCAGGGTCAGTTTTTGCTTCTTTCCTTTCGTCGCCTTTTTCTCATTTTCTCCTTAATTATTATTTTTATACTTTTCTCTTTCCAACCTCCTGCCTCGTCTCTTTCTTGTCTTCCACCCAGAGTCAGGACTTGGCGCTGATCCACCACAGACTGTGTGTGTTTAACAGCCATTTAATCGGACCCTGATAGTCTTAATTAGTGTGGGAGAAGCGCTCTGTTGCTCCCCCGAGACTCATTATCCCTCCTCGTTCTCTTCCTGCGTGGGCGAGAGGAGGAGGAGACAGACGCAGGAGGCGACAAAGTGAAGGACGTGGAGTTGGAAAGAGGAAGAAGAGGGGAAGTGAGGAAGGAGTGATGAGGAGGAGGAGTAGGAACCAAGTGAAGGTTCCTGTGGCTCCATCTGGTGGTGAGAAACATCAACTGCATTTCAAATCCTGAACTTCAAGTGTTTCCAAATGAAAAACAGCTGATTCTTCACAGTTATGTTTACATTGTTCATAAAAACAAGGTCTTGAAAAATCCTAAAAACATGGAATTCAGTTTCCTTAAATAAAAGCCTTAGGATGTCTTAAAGTCTTAAATTTCATTTAAAAAGATCTTAAATATCTTCGGTGTTAAATGTTTTTGTACTCAGTTGTGTGGTGTTGGGAGATGTTTTAATTTTAATAAAAACTTTAATGAATAACTCTTAATTGGTTAATTCATTTATTCAAGTTATGTCACTTATCTGAACCAAGGTATCACTAATTCAATTAATTACATCATGATAAATTACTTTTCCACGCTGCTCGTCCAGCAGACTTTGTCCCGTGTGATGGTGAAACAAGAATTCAATTTTATTCTATCTGGTATTAAAAAGTCTTAATGAATCTGGTGAACTCTATAACAGATGACGTTGCTTCTTTAAATGTTGGATAACAGAGATATGGATCTTTAAATGTGAATGCAGATTGATTTGATACAGAAAATGCGGTATATTTAAGGTATTCAATGCTTATACCAGCGTCTGAATCCATCAGTTTGGTGTTTTATTATTTTTATTAGCTCATAAATTCAGTTGTTAATCTTTCACACTTTATAATAAGCCATAAAGCCTAGAGTTTCAAATGTTAGTAAATGGTTAATAAACTGATTAAAGCTGCAACTGACAATTCTTTTCACGATCAGTTAATCGATTCATCGAGAACAAATGTTTTGTTTTGTCAGAAACATTCAGTTTAAGATGAATAAAACCAGCTGATATTCATATTTAAAGAGCAGGAACAAATGGATTTCTGACTTTTATCAATATTTAATTGATAATGAAAATTCTTGCTCCTTTATTAATTAACTAATCGTTAAGCTCCAGGTCGATATTCTGTGGGGTGATGATAGTGTCGACCTAATGACCTCGAAACCAAAGAGTAAGAGAGCTACAGGAAGTTCTCACAACATGGCAACCAACACTTATTAAAGATGAATTATTGATTTATTATCCAATACTAAATCATTAGTTACAACTTATAAAGATTGGCTAATTAGAAAACGGCACCTTGTCGTTAGTTGTTTCGCATGGCTTCGAATTTCCAGAGATTCAAGGAACAAAAACAGCGTCTCACTTTCTGAGAAAACCTTTATTCAGGATTCTTCAACCCGTGAGGTTTTTCCTACAGAACATGTAAACACACATATTCACTCATTTATTACATGACGAGCAGACCAGGATGACGCTGCAGCCGTGTCTCATTATTGAAGGATTTTCTAAAAGTGACGTCCAAATGTTTCCATTATTTTTTTATGTTAGAAAATGTTGCTTTTTCACCTTATCCATAAATTCTTATATTTATTTCACTTTTACTTGGATTTCCATTTGATTTCAGACTACAGCTATTGTTTTATACAACATGTGACCGAGTTGTGATTAACAGACAGGGGCGGGGCTTAATGTTTCCCCAGAGACAGGTTAAAAAAAATGGCAGTTGACTCCACCTTTAATGTTTGTCTGAAGGTGGGCTTAAACATTTTCATGTGACTTGTGCATCACCGGGGGCTGGAACCAATCAATTATCAATAATCATCATAACCAGGATATCAACAAATTAACTCTAGTTTATAAATCAAGACTAAATCTTTACCTCTCCCCTCTATCGCAAACAAAAATGGTGGAAATGGTAATTAATATTGTAAATCATTATTATGACAATTTTTTTTTAATCAATATTTATATCAAATATATTGACCCAAGTTTCTCAGTGTCCCAGCCCCAGGAAAAAAAAACACATGTAAAAACAATTTGCTGTCAGTGGTTCAAACTTGACTTTTGGGATGAAACAGGCAGTAAGGGGTTAAATTTTAAATGAACACAATTTATCTTAAACAATTAAACAAAAAATAGCAACAGAGATAAAAATCGAGTGTTCGTCCTTTGAGTCTTCAACACTTAAATCTCTTTTCATGAGTGTGTTCTACGTGGAGTGTGTGTGTGCGGCCCAAACTCCGCTCGCCGAACATTCGTCAATGGGCGACCGCGAGTCTGAACGGGTGTCAGCACCGGAGTTCCACTGGTTCTCAACGGACCCGGGGAAAGACGTGATGCGATTGTCTGCGTGGAGCTGGAAGTCTCTCCGAGAGCTTTTCGAGTGAGCGTCAATGGGTTGCTTGGGCTCACGCTGAGAGTCAATGGGGGCGTTATGTTTGGAGCGGGCATCAACGGGGAACTGTGAGTTGGAGCTGGGGTCAAAGTGGTTGTGATGTTTTGAGTCAGAGTGGCGAAGGTCTGAGTGGGAGTCAACAGTAGGTTCGGCTCGAGAACTGCACTTCCTGTGTGCAGTGTGGAAGGTGGAGGAGGGGGGTAAGGCTGTGTGGTTGGAGTGTCCATCAATCATAGTGGTGACAAAGCGAGAAGAATGCAGGTTAGCGGATGGCGGAGGACTTCTACGATGCAAATCAATGGGTGGCGGGTGACCACCGGGCGATCGATCCCCGTGATTGATTATTGATGATGGCGTGCCATCGGCCAGTCCTTCTGAAGCTGCACTGGAAGAGTGGAGATCAACAGTAGATTTGGGACTTCTAGGATGCAAGTCAATGGGTGTCAACCTGCCACTGGGAGCTGCTGTTGGCACAGGGTTCAGTCTAAGCTTTTGTGACAGGTTCTCTCTTTTATTGGAAGAGTGCGAGTCAATGGGTGAGGAGGGATTCTGAGTCCTGGATTCGAGGGACGAACCCGAAACAGCAGGTGACGTGACGTTAGAAGTGACTCCTGAGAAAACACCACTACCTGCCGGCGTGCCTCCAGCACAAACACTGCTGGAAAGATGGAGGTCAACGGGTGCTACCTGACAGGAATTCATTAAAGTCTCATTCCTGCAACCTCCGGAGGTAGAGTCAGTGCGCGCTCGTTTCTCTTTGGACCAGCCGGTATCAGCTGAATGAAAATCAATGGCAGATAAAGAATTCACAGGATGTAAGTTAATGGGTGAAGATCCGACACCACAGGAAGGTGTTTCCTTTGTGCTCTCACGACAGGAATGTAACTTTGAAGAATGAAGAGAATTCAAGAAATCCAGATGTGGAGTGGTATTTTCAGACCCAGAAGATGAGTGGATATCAATGGGGGGTTTGTGACTTATGGAATGGATCTCAGTGGTTAATGCTCGGACTTTAGGAGAGTCAATAGGTGTTAAATGAAAGGAAGGATGCAGGTCAGTGCTAACGCTGCTAGCAGACGCCAAAGCGCTCTTTAAATGTTTCTTCAGTGTTGAAATGGGCGGGATGACCTGGTGATCTTTGGGCGGATCGGGAGACAAACGGGAGTCGACGGGATTTAAATTGAGGTCAACAGGATTATTTGCACCAACTGGGTCAACGTCGATGGAGGCATGAGGTGAGTGGAGGCCAGCGGGCGACAGGTGTGGACTCCCAGCATCTTTGTGTTTTAATGGTGGTGGCGTGTTTCTGTTGTGTGACCGAACAGGACTGGCCTTTTTTAGGAGTGGAGGGATGTCCACGCCCTCGTGTCTGACTCCGCCCTCCTTCAGCTGCTGAAGAGAAGGCGGCGGCGGTGGCGTGAAGGTACGACAGTCCGACCCCTGATTTTGTTCTCGCTCCACAGGCAAATCAGCATCGGGACGTCTCGTCTCAGCCAACCAGTCGCCCTGATTGGAACGAGCCTGAAGACATTTTCTTCTGGTGTCGGGGGAGGAACTAAAGTTCGAAGACGAGTCACGTTTAGGAACAGCAATTTCCTTGAGGTCATTTAGGATGGTTGCTAGCAGACAGCTGTCAGAGGTCGTAACGGCAGCAGAGTCTTTGTCTCCTGGACGCTGAGCATCCGCACTCGTTGCCTCTCTTGGATGATTATCAGTGGTCGTCTTCGTGTCGACCTTTCTGATTGGTCCATGTAAGTTCGAAGACAGCCCTCTATCATCACTCCACACCAGCAGTGAATCATTCTCTTCGACATTTTCCACGTCCACGTCATCGCTGTTGTCGCTGTTATCGATTGCGATGGGACCCGATTGGCCCGCTGGCTCCGTCTCCGACCCGTCAGATCCCCGGTCTAGGATGTCAACGGGAAGCTCGCCAATTTCACCTTCCAAGGCCCCGCCTACACCGGCAGAATGCACCAACGGGAGAGGAGGGAGGTCGGAGAAGTCGACGGTCTGCTGGCTGCTGAGCGGACTACTGCTGCCGCTGCTGATGTTTTTGTTGTTGAGGTCGTCGTGGCTGCTGTCGCTGTCGAGGGTGATGATGACTGGAGAACTGAGAGGAACAAAGAGAGTGTCAATAAAGTTTAATGACCTTGAATCTCAGACAGGAACAGAGTTATGCAGCCTCTTGATGAATAAACTCCACATTTCTAACTGTAAAAAAACCTCGTCCCTGCTGATAGTTTACTCTGAGTGGAGATTTATCTTTACAGATTTTTTAATCTAAACATCTCATTTCATTAAATTAATGAAATTCTTGGCAGCAACTAACCACAAAAGAAAAAGACACTGATGAAAAAACTGAATTGATTTATAACTGATTAATTTGACCATTTGTAATCACCAAATATTTTATAATGGACTAAAACATTTTGCAGTTTTTTTTTATTACAGGGAATTACAGCCCTCAGACATTTTTAATCGGCCAATCAGAAGGAAGTATTAATAATAATAAACTCTATTTATAAAGCACTTTTCTTACAAGAGATGTAGCTCAAAGTGCTTTACGATAAAAAAAAAATCAAATAGTACAGTAAAATAAGGACAATGAAAACAGACAGTAGCTGATAAAAAAAGTAAATGGGAATAAAAACAGAAACCATATTCAACAATAATAAAAACTGTAACTGAGTTATCAGTCATTTTTCACCAAATAATAATCTACAAAAAAATTAGTTCATTTGTTAAAACATCACGGAGTACAGCTGTTGTTCTTCTTGTTGATGGGACTAATGGTGGCAGGCCGCCCCCTGTTGGCTGGTTTTACAACTGCAGGGAGTTTAAACTCAACAGGAAATCATGATATTTGTTTAAATGGTTGATTTTAATTCAGTAATTACAAGCTGTTCAATATTTTCCACCACGTTCACATTGTAATTAAATGAAAATATTTTTTGGCAGTTAATTCGACCACGTGGCTGCTACCTGTTGTGTGGCATCTTTCGGTGGCGTTTCCTGCGGCGTTTGCGGGCGGGAGGTTGTGTCGCGTCGGACATGATAGTGCCCTCGTAGATGATCTCCACACTCGGACTCCGGTCTTCTCTGGACCTCCTGCCGCTGCTGGACCACAGACACACAGACAGACAGGAAACGAGGGTTAAAACGTGGATTTTAACCCGGGACAATTCCACATGTTGATGAGATCTGACTTCTTTAAACAGCGTCCTGTTTGTAAGAGAGGAACTTCAGGTTTGCTGTTTCTACTCTAATTACAGAAACATCAGTGTAAGACAATACAGTTCAACAGCATCACAACCTCCATCCTCCAAACTGATCCTTCAGCTCAAACAACAGTTTCAACACAAACTGAAACTAAACATCTGAGAAACAATGAATTCTGGGACGTGGGGATAATTGTATCTGAGGAGTCCCACGATAATAACAGTCTTACTGTTTCCCTGAGAAACCGTGGAAATCAAAAGGCAAACCACAACCATGTTTTCTGGGACAGTTGGAGACGGATGCACAAAGCATCTTTCAAATGTGAAATCTGTCTAAAATAAATAAGAGTTAGTAATTATAATATTTTGGATATATACCTTGAGACTGGCTTAAAAGAGAAAAGAGATAAATATTTACTGAACAACTACTGGTGGCTGGTAAAAAGACTCTTAGCAGGAAAACCCAACTCTAAATGTGTGGATGGAAACTACAGCAGACATTTATAAAATGTCAATCAAACTGGAACAATGAACCACATACTGGAAAAAATGGATTAACTATGTAACACCCAATAAGCCTGATTCTATTTTCACAAATCCATCATTTTATTCCTGAGAAAAGATCCCTCCCCCTTTGTGTTCTTTTTCATTGTGTCTTTTTCTTTCCTATAAACGTCATAAACATTTAGTAACACAAAGGAAACAAAAAACAAACAAACAAAAAAAACACACACAAAAACAAAAGAACCCCCAAAAAAAGAGGAAAAACAATATATATATTAATAACAAACAAACAAAATGAAAAAGAAAAACAAACAAAAACAGGAAGTGTCGCTCTCACCTCTCTCCACAGTAACTACTCTCCCTCCTGTGTCTCTCCCGTTTCCTCCCTCCTTCTCTCTCCCTCCTCCTCCTCCTCCTCTCCTTCTCCCCCCTCTCCCTCCTCTTCTCCTTGCGGTGGCTGCTGCTCGGCCTCCAGGTCGGGTCCTTGTCGTTGCTGTCCAGGTGGCGGCTCTTGTACTTCCTCTTCCCACCGGGTTTTTCTCTGTGGTGAGTGTCGCCGGGGGAGAGCGAGGGCGTCGGCGGCGTCTGCGGTGGTGGTGACGACGGTGGCTGCGGGGAGGAGCAGAGGGGTGAGGAGGAGGAAGAGCAGGAGCGCGAGGAGACAGAGGAGGTAAAGGGGGAGCAGTGGTACTCCCAGCTGGAGTCGGGTGGGCTGGGCGGCAGCGGTGAACCGGACTCAACGCTGGAGTAAAACGGCGAGGGAGAGTGGGAGCGGCGGTGCATCATGGCGGGATAGATGGATCGGTTTGGGTTGTACAAGGTACCACTCCTCTCCCGCCCTCTTCTCCTCTTCTTCCTCCTCCTCTTCTCCCTCACCACCTCACTACCACACTGTTTCCTGTCTCTCCAGCTCTCCGGCCGCTGCTCGCTCGGGCTGAGCGTGCACACGGACTCCCGGCTTCGCCCCGAGCTCACCGACCAGGAGCGTGCACGTGAGCGACGCCCACCCGCCTCGCCGTCTTTCTCCTTCGGCTTGTCGTTCTGCTCCTCTAGGTAGGCGCCAGATGTGGAGGGAGGGATTGTAGGTAGGTACGAAAGAGGAGGGGTGGTGGAGGGGAGGGGCGGAGCATCCTCAACCATCTTTTCCTCCTCTCTCTCCTTCTCCTCCTCCTCCTCGGTGTCGGAGGAGAGCTGCACCAGCTCCGGTGTCCGCTCTGCGATCGGCTTCTTGTATCCAACGATCAGACACTCCTCCTCCCCCTCTTCCTCCCGCTTCTCTCCCGCGTCCTTATTGGCTGGCTTGTGTGTGTCGGGGCTGAATGACAGTGAGGTGAGTGAACATGACGGCTCGGCAGTAGAGTAGGAGGGGCCCGGCGTTTCGTCGTCCCAGGCAGACAGGCTAAGGCTACTTCCTGTTTGAATCACATCATCGTAAGTGCTCCCCGCTCTCCCTTGCAGCCTCTCCTCTGACATTCCCCCCCCCCGGCTCTCCTCCTCCTCGCCCTCTGATATGGCAATGACGGAGCTGCTGTCAGACGGGCTGCTCATCCCATCTAGCTCCATGGCCGTGGCGGGCGGCTCATACACCGCCTGCAGGTCATAGTTTTCCAGGCTGAGCGGTGAGCGGGCGAAGCTGACCAGCTCGTGCAGGAAGTGGTCGGTGCGAGCCAACAAGAACGGCCGCAGCTCTTCTTCTATGGTGGGCGTGTCCTCCAAGCCGTGGCGGGCCAGCCGTGCCATGATGATGCGTTGGACGATGTCGACCAGCGTACCGTGAGCACCATATAACACCGTGAGCTCCCGCCGTAGCCAGGGGCGGAGTCTGTTCAGGTGGGCTGGGTTGCGACGGAAGCTCTCTGCTGTGATGTCACGATGCTGCGCCTGGTTACCGCTGACCCCGGCAACACCGCGGACCCGTATGCCACAGCGGTAGAGCGCGCGGCGGAAGGCCACACACTCTCTCTCCCTCAACCGCCGCACAGTTCCACCTTCTCGCTGCAGCCGCTGCCTCGCCGCCAGACGGGTCATCAGCCGCCGTGACGCCCGGTCGTTGGGGGCTACTGACACTGCCCCCCCAAGGCCCGTCAGTCCCTCAAATATCACACCGCGCTCCGCCAGATCTGCCCCTCCCCTCATCCTCTGCTGCTCCAGGTCTTCCCCCTCCCCACTGTCCTCGGCGACCATGGGAGACACAGCGGGATGGTGAGGAAGAGGGGGGAGAGGAGGAGAGTCCAGGTACCATTCCCACACCCCCGTCCTCTCCCCCGTCCTCCTGCTCCCCCCTCCTCTCCCTCCCCTCTCCCTCCTCCGCCTCCTCGTCGTTGTCTCTCCGCCGTCCGTTGCCCTGTGCCTCCTCAGCATCAACCGCATCTGGTGGTCGCTCCTCGCCGCCGACGCCATTGCGGCCACCATTGCCACAGTGGCGGCCACGCTGCTGTTGGCGGGCGCCGGCCGCAGCGTGTACTCCTTGAAGTCATCCTCGGCACGGACCGAGTGCAGGATGGAGGCGAAGGGCTGCTTGCAGAGCGGACACTCTGCCTTGTTGTGCGACCACTCCTGGATGCAGGGGAAGCAGAAGCGGTGCAGGCAGCGGTCCAGGTACGCCAGGTTGTTGAAGCGGTCCAGACAGATGGGGCACTTGGAGTCAGGTGATGCCTCCTCTGCCGCCACCACCGCCCTCGCCGAGGCCGAGGACGTGGGCGGAGAGGAGGCGGTGGCAACAGTGGTCGAGGTGTTACTGGTGTTTTTCCTCCGGCTGCTGCCGCGACCGCTGGTCTCTCGACTCCGCTCCTCCTCCTCAGCCGGCTGACCGCCTCCCACTGCACCTGCACCATCACGACGGCGCACACGCAGTTTCATGCGTGTGGGCGCCATCACCTGAACACAGAGAACAGACCGTGAGATACATTCAGGGTCATGTGATCACTCCTCACTTTCTGTGTGTTATTCTAACAGTCTAGTCACACTGGTGTCACATTGTGACTGTGTTTGTAAGATGAACTAAAGAAACCAGAAGCAGCTGAAGGTCTTTAACTTTTGTTTGTGTTTTTGTTTTTCTTCTTCTGTTGTGTTTGAACGACCTCAGACCTTCAGCTGTTCAATAAAAACTACACCTGGTGAAGGCAGAGCAGCTGTCTCAGGACACTTTCATGGAATGATGCTTCAGTTTACATCATCAGTTAGTTCTTCAGTGGTGGAGCAACAACAAAAGCTAACACAGAGCTAAGCTACATTCACCCTTCTTCTTTCTACTTCACCATTACAAAAACACAATCCTCGGGAGAGAACGACGCTGCATATATAACATTTTAGCTGCTACTAGCCTAGCATGCTAACGCCAGCGAGCAGAGCTGTACTGGCATTTATCGAGCCGGCAGTCTCGATATCCTCCTCTCTGCTCGCTTCAGACACGTTTATTGGTCCTTCTATCTAACGGCTTGGACCGGTGGCAACCGCCGGTAAACGCTCGTCACACTGCGGTAGAAAACGACAAACACAAAAACGTTCCTTCTAGCTTGTTAGCATGCTAACGAGGTTAGCTCTCCGTACCTGAGCAGAAGTAGACTCCCCGGGTCGCTCCGGGAGCTTCTCATCCGGGTTTTTTCTCCTCCTCCCGGCAGAATTCCGCAACGTGAGCGGCATCCGCCGTCGGCGACGTTATCAGTCTCCCGGGCTCCGTTGCTCTGATCCGTTCAGACCTAAACTCCGGTTAGAAACGGAGACATTTGTGTCGGTCGTTTTTGTCCGAAAGCACAGCTACTCACAACTGGAATGAGAAAGATGCCGCGGTGGATGATGGGAAATGGAACGTAATAATTTTTCTTGAACCAAAGATCGCAAATAAAGAAGATGACTCATTCAAACCACAACAGACGAACCGTGGGTCCACATTTTGTCTTAATAAATCATTATTTTGACTAAAACCATCATTTGTGTTTCTTGTTGCATTACTCTGGGTTTGTCATAGTCACCTCTGGTTTATATATAAGTAGGCCTGGCGTGTTTTATTGGCGTAAGAAAGGCAGCGTGAGCCTGAATTTACTTGTTCTTTGCCAATTCCATTAAAACACAGGAAAATACATGTGGGGACTGTGGGGTATTTAGTATCAGAAAATGGAAACAAATTAAGTACAAATACCTTAGAATTGTACTTGAGTACTTTGTTACTCTCCATTACTGCTCAACAATGACTCATATCTCCTGCCCATGCCAATCCTATGTGTGAGTGCGTGTGGTTCCAGGAAAAGGAAGCAGAGTAAGACATTGTCTTTCTGATTTTTCGCTACGATCGTAATGGTTGTGTTCTCAGTGCTGCCTCCTAACGGTCAGAGTGCAGAACATCCATCTACCCCGCGAGAGCAGCCAGGTAAAACTGTCTGTTTTACGTCATGTTTTACACAAAGTTTAGTAAATTAACCAGGAGAGGAAACGTGTTAAAGAAGATCTTTGAAAGGTTGTAATCTATTATTTTAATATAAAGTCAGTCGTTTAATCTGCCGTTAACACTCTGAAACACAAGATGGCGCAAATGTCCGTTAAACGGTGGCGAAGCAACAACCGCTAAACTCATAAAGAAGAGGAGGAAGTCCGCGGTGTAAACAAACAGAATCGGTGTTTCGGCGGGTAGAATCTGGATTAAATGAGAAGATGGAGACATTAAGTAGACGGGGACTGGACAGGATCTACTCTGTGGTACTTTAATTACACCCGGTTTCAGTCAAATGTTGCTCTAGGGGACTGGAAAGGCTGTGTTAAAGTAGCTGCTAACGGCTAGCTAGCAACTAGTTAGCAACCAGCCATAAAATGGAATGCTTAAAATGAAGATTAGATGATGAATTAGTGATATTAGCTGGCGAGGAGGTAATAAGATGCACATTGATTATGAAAATATAATAATGATGATAATAATAATAAAGCTAAACTTTATAGAATAAAGCCTCTAAATAAAAAGACAGCAAAAGTAATGTCATAATAAATAATGAAATAAATTGAGAATCTATTTGCAGACAGTTATGTTGGTTCTGAAATGGGATATAATAAATTGAAATGAGATTTTAGTTAAATATGATGGTATTAAAGATGAATAACAACCAACAATTCTGGCACTTGTGTGTAGATCTGCAACAATGAATCGATTAGCCGATCAAAAGGGAACTTACCAGCAGCTGTTTTGATAATCAACTGAATGTTAAAGTCATTTTTCTAGCAAATGAGCCAAACATTTGTTGACTCTAGATTCTTAAACGATAAACAAAACAAAAAACAAGATGATGTCTCATCGGGCTGAAGGATGTGATGGACATTTTTCACTATTTTCTGATGTTTTGTTGACCAAATGATTAGTCAGTTAATCAAGAAAGTAAGTGGCAGATTTATCAGGAATAAAAATAATAATTAGTTGCAGCCTTAAACAGATTAATAACCAACAATCCAGAGACTTTAGAGCTGCATATGTCTTGGGATAAATGGGTATTTTATGGGTTTTTTAATACGTAAGTTATAAATCTTTTAAACTGCAAACACTTACTGGCATCTTTCTATTCAAGTAATATTTTATATAAATCTCTTAAACCTGAATTTAAGCTGAAAACAGTTTGAGTTCAACTTTCTGTTTCAGTTCTAGCTATTTTAAATACGGTTGTGTGGATGTGTTGGTGTGTTCATGTATGTTCGCTGTCGTTCTTTGATGTTGTTGAGCAGCTGAAACACGTCTTTGTTTCTCGTCTCTCAGGTCTTTCTGGCGGTCGTGGTCTTGTCCTGGTCTTATGTGATCTACGCCAGCAGAATCGCGGCTCATTGGCTGCTGGAGAAGAGGACCACCGCCCTCCAGGAAGACTGACACTGGAGCGTCAGTTCACGTCAGTGTTTATGCACAAACTACACACAGAGTTGTGGGTTAGACGGGTTTAAACCTGTGTCACCTGAACGTCACTAGAGGTCACTGTGTCTGAAGATGAACTGAAACCTGCTGCTCGCCTGGTTTCAGAATAAGAGCTCACATCATCATTAATTCATCATAAATGTCAGATTAATGTAAATAAAACAACATCAATCAAATGTGTTAGTTGATGCAGAGACACAGGTGTGTCTCCTGCTGACATGAGGTCAGGTAACGTTAGCAGGGGAGACTCTGCTGTGTTAATGTAGACTAATATATTTGACAGGGTATTGATCCTGCAGTAGAGTGTAAGGAGAACAATGTTCCACCAGTTGTTTTTCTCTTTATCACCATTTTCCAAGTGAAGGAACAGTTTTGTTTTTCAGACTGACTCTCGGCTCCAGGTTCAGTCAGTTTATACCAGAAAAACCAGCTGAAGTAAAAACAAAGGAAAACATTCAGCTTGTCAGTAGATCACAAAGTAAATGTGCTAAACATGACGTTACCTTACACATATTTTATTTATTTTACTAATTTGACAAATATTAATTTAATGCCAGATTGACTGAACGAATCTTCTGTTTTTTGTTTTTAGATTTTTCAAAACTCTGTTTCCTGTCCGTCGTCCTGCTCTGGGATCAGCTGATGGACCAGTTAAACACAACCTGCTACAGACCTGGCCTCTAGAGACCTACAGAGACCTACATAGACCTGTACAGACCTGCAGAGACCTACAGAGACCTGTAGAGACCTACAGAAACCTACATAGACCTGTACAGACCTGCTGAGACCTACAGAGACCTGTAGAGACCTACATAGACCTACATAGACCTGCACAGACCTGTAGAGACCTACAGAGACCTACATAGACCTGTACAGATCTGCAGAGACCTACAGAGACCTACATAGACCTGTAGAGACCTACATAGACCTCTAGAGACCTACAGAGACCTGTAGAAACCTACAGAGACTGGTAGAGACCTACATAGACCTGCACAGATCTGCAGAGACCTACAGAAACCTGTAGAGACCTACAGAGACCTCCTCAGACCTCCTCAGCTCCTCACTGAGTCTTCTGTATGTGGAATAAAGGGGGCTCGGTGATATTTATTGAACCTGCTCAGACATGCTGTAGTAATTCCTACAGCTAAATCCATTATATTGATAATAAATCACTTCTGTCATTTTCATTGATTTCAGCCTCTGATGTGAGTCTTTGCTGGTTTTCTGAGTGAACGTAAACAGAACCTGTGAGGGACATTTTTCACTATTTATTTTCATTATTTTTTAATAATTAACGAATCAATCGAGAAAATAATCTGCAGATCATTTGACAATGAAAATAATCTTTAGTTGCAGCTTTAAAATCCACATATTGTCAAATATGTTGCAGTAAAATAATAAACAAACAACCCGTATGTGAAATATTAATGTAGGTCCAGTGTCCCTGTTGATTGTTTTTATTGTGACATCACAGTGTCTCAAAACACAAGAGAAAGTTATTTAAAATATATAATAACAACATTCCTTATTCAAACAACATTAATTATGAATAATTAGTAATAACAAGTAACAAGAATTATCATACAGATTTACTGAATTCAATTTAACTCATTTTCACTTTCTGATATATGTTATTACCATGGTTACCGAATGATCCTACATAAATATGTTGCTTAGCTTAGCTTAGCATAAACACTGGAAACCGAGGGACAAGTTCACTGATTAACATGTTTTATCTCATTTATTGAATCTGTACAAAAGCAAAACACATGGAGGTTGTTGTTTGTCTTTTTACCTTTAAACAGACATGAGCTAGGCTAGCTGTTCCGCCTGTTTCCAGTGTTAATGCTAAGCTAGGTATCATCTATTTCTGTCCTTCATTAATCCAGAACTCTGTTTTCTGTTCCAGGATGTTGGAATAGAAGAGAAAAACTTAGTTTAGTTTTTCATTTGTATTTAAATCTGAAGTTTGTCAGGATTTGTTTTTAACGCCGACATGAAAACGTTCAGTGAGACAGAAGAGAAGGGAGTCTCCAGGTTTATGTCAGAGATTCAATTTAAACAAAACCATATGAATGGAAACGCACATCAGCTCATTGTAAGTGTGTGTGTGTGTTCGTCTGATGTATCCAGTAACTAAAGGCTCTGACACACACACACACAGTGTTATTTTATAATGATGTGTTTGATGTGTGTGTCCTCAGATATGTAAATGCTCTCAACAGAATGGGTGACTGAGAGAGGGCGAGCGAGCAAAAGATAGAATGAGAGAGAGAGAGGAGAGGCTCTTTAGGTGAGTACTCATTCTATTAACAAAACCACTTCAAACACACACACACACACACACACACGTGTTATCTCATCTGTAATTAAAAACCAGGCTGTCGTCCGTGCTTCTTCTTCTGTGTCCTCTCGCTGTGTTCGGGGCCCCGGGGGCCTCTTCTTTTCAGGGTGGGAGGGGTCTGCAGATAAAAACAATCCGGGATGGTTCAGAAAATTGTGGGAAAAAGTTGAACAGAAACTTCTGATTTAACCTGAATGTTGTGGTTTGAGTCCTAATGAAATACAACATGTTTCCTGCTTGACGTCTGACTGGTGCTGACAGTCGAACTAAAAATACAGAATCCATCTGTTTGGATTTGTTATTAAAGATTGTTTGTTTGTTTGTTTATGATGTTAACGTCTAATGTATTTGAAAATGTTTTGTAGTTATAGAAATGGCGTCCAAACTGCAAATGTGTGTGTGTGTGTGTGTGTGTGTGTGTGTGTGTGTGTGTGTGTGTGTGTGTGTGTGTGGGGGAGAGCTGCCTTTTGCAGCTGTGGAGCTCTCATGCAGATGAGACCATGTAAAACACACACACACACACACACTGCAGTGTTCTCCTGTCTAAATATGTTGAGATAAAAAGTCTGATTTTAGAGATCTGAATTCATGTGGTTTGAAATTGTAGCTTCTGGACTAAAAGCTGGAGGGGAGGTTCTCAGCTGATGAACTTCAAATTCAGTCATTGATCATTGGTGATAGGTTTAAACATCTGGGCAATAAAAACAATTTAGTAGATGTAAAAGTTCATAATCAGGTGTTCATTGTCTTTCCTTCCATATCTCAGTCTTTGTATGAGCAGGGAACAAAATAATGAATTTAAAATGTTTGTTTCATGTTTTTTCGAGAAAATCTGAGAACTCATCTTCGGTTAGTAAGAAAACTCAGATCATCTAAGTTCCACATCACCTCCTCATGTCATCATCCTCCTCCTCCTCTCTCAGGTCTCCTCCTCTTCGTCTGTCTGTTGTCATGTCGGCCATCTTGGCTGCTAACAGGTAAACAAAGCCACCCCCCCCTTCTCATCTCTGTCTCTTCAAGTCGTCCATCTGCTCAACACTGTCACATGAATATTTATACAGTGCGTCCATGCCAGCAGCAGAGATGCTAATGAGCTAACGAAACCAACCAGAACCATCAAACTGATGAACGGAGGCTGTTTTACAGTTTATTATATTTATTATTAATAATTCTGAGGTCATGAGTCCAAACCCCTCCAAAGTAAAACCCGTCGATGATTTAAAATCTTTTCACATTGGTTCTATTTTCTTTAGTTTGTTAATTAGTATTTCAGAATTATTATAGACTTTTAGAAACTGACGAACTTCAGATGTAATGATATTAAAATAACTCACAGAGAAGCTTTAATGATCAGTTTTAATGATGTACAGACACGGACTGTGTTTACTCAGCTGTTTATTGCAAACATGACACAACATAAATCCACACAAGAACAACAATATATGGTTTTATACATTTGTTTTTGTGCAGTTTATAGTCTCTGGTCTCCAGTCTCCAGTCTTTAGTCTCTAGTTTCCAGTTTCTAGTCTTTAGTCTTTAGTCTGTAGTTTCTAATCTTTAGTCTTTAGTCTCCAGTCTTTAGTCCAGCAGAGATTTTTAGACCAGTTCTCTGGTGTTTTTTCATTAAGACCCGGTTCATCCCTTCGTTCATGTTTCCTCTTAGAACCTTTTAAGGAACCATCAGTGAAACTAACTACTTCCTGGGGATGTTTCACATTAAAACCCTACCATTAAAGTGATGGACTGTGATAGGCTTTTAATGTGAAACAACTGCGTAGAAACTGTTTCTTTCTTTATACATTAGACTGAAAGTATCTTTGTCGATTATGATGATGTGTTGTTAAGATGACGTGTTCAAGAGTCTGATGTTCAGTGGATTAATCACAGATAATAGACAGATACATGTAACAACATATAACAACATACAACAACATATAACACATTATACAAACGTTTCAACATGTGAAGAAACACGGATGACGACTGAAGAGAACTAATCAAATGATGAACTCAAGAGTTTGGGGGTCAGGCCGGATCCAGGAGCAGATCGTCGTTCAGAAACCCCGGCATGGACGAATACAGCTCCCGCTCTTTCTCCATCTCTTTCTCCGTCTCCATGGTGACGTGCTTGGTCGTCTTGGTGTCCGGGCTGACGTCCCTGGCGACCAGAGACACCTTCTTCCCCGCCAACCAGTAAGTCACCATGTCGCCTTTCCCCTGGTAGAGACAAGACAGAGACAGAGTGTTACCAGGCAGCTCCCAGTGCTCCCAGTGGTTGGACAGAGCTGATGGGAGCAGGAGGCTCACTTTGACCTGCAGCATTCCTCTGCACTCCAGCACATAGCCGCCGATCTCCTCCAGCAGGTAAAATGCACTGGAGCTGCACTGGATCTTCAGGGCTGCAAAGACACCGACTAAGTTTTGGAAATGGCAGGTTTTTACATTTCTACCATTAGTTTCAGTTAATTTCTATGAAAAGATAATGAGTTTAGTCTTGTTTGAAATCATTTATCTGTCACAGTAAACGTTAAGTCATGAGGAGAAAGAATAAAAGCACTTAAGGCGTCCTCCACAACCACTGGTCACCCAGTTACCCAGGCTGGTGGACTCCATCCTAGACGCTGTGTTAACGGTGTCCCCGAACAGACAGTAACGAGGCATCTTCGTCCCTACAACACCTGCAACCACCGGACCTAAGGACCGAGAGAGAGAGAGAGAGATTAATAAAGAAGCAAAATAGATTAAATAATATAATATTATTTAGATTTGTAAAAAGTTTCCGACAGCCTCTGCGAGTACCGGAGTGTATCCCGGCTCGTATCTGCAGCTGCATGTTGGGTTTGTGAGGGATCCTGAAGGTGCGACAGACTCCCACCAGGTCCAGAGCCATGCTGGCGATCTCTGAGGCGTGGAGGATCCCATTTTCCTGGGGAACGCCGGACACCACCATGTCTACACAACCACACGTACACAATGATACAACAACAAATCTGTTTTTGTTATAGAGAGGTGATTGTTTTAGTTTTTGGAGACTGCTGTCTGAGGTTTAATACTTGGTTTTTGGGTTTAGGTTAGACTTAGGTTAGGTTAAGGGGTTAGGGAATACACTGAGGGAACTCACAGGCATCTCCGATGGTTTCCACCTTGTAGACGTCATAGTTGTCGATGATGTCATCAAATGTCGTGTAGAGTTTGTTAAGGAAATCCACAACCTGGTAGGGAGTGCTGGTACTCGACAGCTGGGTGAAGCCCACGATATCACTGCACACACGTGGAGTATTCAGAACCTTTATTGAAGTAAAAGTACCACCAACATTCCTGGGACTATGTATCTTCTTTGAAACTGGCAGATCACGACTACCACTAAACTTTTGATCTGTCAGTCGGACAGTTGTTAGTTCTCTCTGCCTCTACCTGAAGAAGACGGTGGCACTGACGTAACTCTGAGCCTGCAACGGTTTCCCCTGGCGCAGGTCATCAGCTACCTGCTTAGGAAGCATACCTGCAACACAAACATGCAAATATTTTTATTTTATTTTAGTTAACCTTCATTTAACCTGGAAATATCTTGAGATACACAATGTCTTTTACATGAGAGTTCTGGTCAAATGGCGATATATACAGTACTAGTCAAAAGTTGGAAACACTTTTCCCAGAATGGGAACCCCAAAAAAATTGCACAAAAACAGGTTTAAGGAAATGCTCTTAATGTGATGCATTCATGGTTAATTTTAATTGGTGAAATCATAACTGCAGTTTGTGGAACACAGGTTGGAGATTGGTTAACAGTATAGATAACTGTATCGTCTGCATACAGATGACTCTTGGATAAATCATTTTGTGTTGCCAGTTTTACTTCAGAGTTGGACAGAAATGAATCACATTAGTAACCAAACTATCATAATGGACAGGTGTGTGTGTCGTACTGTACAGCAGCCTGTCAGTTTTCTGTTTCTCATGCATCAGGTCTTGAGTCCGCTCGGCCACCAACACCTCCAGATGTTTACTGTACTTCTCCATCTGAAACGGAGAGTTGCACCTGCATGTTACAGTGAGCTGTGATTTTAACTACACATCCATAATACAACACGATACAATGTGTGTCATGAACCCCATATCCGCAGGTAATTACCAGGTTCATCATCATGTCCACCGGGCTGACTTTGACGGGGTTGATTCGGTGAACAAACTTCCTGATTTGTTCAAAGGTGGGTCGGTGGGCGGGGTTATGAGAGCGGCATCGTCGAATCAGCTAAGGACACATACACAGGACAAAAGGCAGCAGAAAAGGTAAGGGCGAGATTTCTTTCTTATAAATTTGAGTTTCCCTTTGGACTAAATTAGATTTTGTTGTTTCAATAAGTTTTTATTTCTAAATAACGTTGTCTTAACACCATGAAAAATACTTTAAGGAGAGGATGAAGGGTTTCAGAAATCTGATAATGTTTTCCAAGCAGAAACTATGTCATCTCACAACCAATCATGTTTTACACGTCACCCCCCACAAAAATCATTCATCATGCTAGCTAACAAATTAGCATACAAACAAATTATAGAAATATAATTTACACCATTGTATCATCCATCAATCAATCAGTCAGTCAAATATTATTTGTATGGCATCTTTCATGCAGGTTAGTGCAATTCTGTAAACATTAAAACATTGCACAAGCAGATTAGACAGTGTGTACACACCTCTACGTAGTCAGCAGGACATGGGCAGGTGTTGTCAGCTTTACTGGAGATCAGTTCAGGTAGAGGAGGACACCAGGCACACTCCAGATTAGACTCCTCTGCCTGAAAAGTATTTATTTATATATTCAAAAAACATGAACGCATCATCAGACTTACAGTGGAGGGATCAGCTAGTGAACCAATCAGATTGTGACTTACGGGGACGGGGTCGCTGCGAGTGGCTATCTCCAGCAGAATGATGGAATAACTGGGAAAACAAACAGAGGGTGATGAGTGTATATTTGTATTACATCACATTGTGGCCATAAAACACGTACCCACAAGGTAAGGCATTACATTTTAGTGTATTTGAGATTTTAATACTTGGTTTTCGGTTTAGGTAAGGTTACAGTAAAGGCTGGAGTTCGGCAGGTCATGGTCATGGTCAAGGTCGGAGGGAATTCATGTACTGTAGGTGAATGCATAGTCCTCCGAAGTGGCAAAAACAAGTTAATGTGTGATACCTAAACACGTCTCCAGCCAGTGTCGGCTCCATGCTGGAGTTATGAAACTCTGGCGGCATGTACACCTCCAAGAGTCTCTGCTGATAGGTGGAAAGAGGCTCCGCCCCGTCATCCCTGCGATACATCCTCAGACCATAATCTGACAGGACAGACCACATGTCAATCAAAACCAGAAAACAAAACTTTCAAATCATGACATGACATTGTAGATATAAGAGAGAACAGCCCTTAATGTCTGTGGAATTTTACGCAGTAGGTCAAACAATCTCAGAGGCGCTTGTCCTTTGTTTTTGTGAGTAGTTTTAATGGCAAGGTTAGCATTGTTTAGCTCAAATATACTGAAGTCAATGGGATCCAGTAGCAACCGCGCTCAAAAAGTGAGAAAAACATCTTAAAGCTGAAGGTTTACTGGTAATACATCTTATAAATAGTTTTTGATTTTTTTGTAATTTTCACCAAAAATACCAAGATTTAATAAAAAAATAGTGGCAGATCGGTTTGAACAGATCTACTGACTATGCACTGGAGATCCACAAATTAAGTAAAAACAAAGCAATACACTTTTTAATGACTTTGTTAACCATAAAAATAGTTCTTCTAAAATCCAATTTTATCTGGATTTTTATATTGTTTGTATTTTAGCCTTTTCTCATCTGTTCATCAGGTAAATTCTCAGATTTTCTATTTTGAAAATGAAAGCTAAAATTAGGAGCCTTGTTATTACCTGTTATTTTACAAACCCAGCGGTCATCTAAGACACAGTTCAGAGACTTGAGTCGACCGTGACAGATCCTGTGTTGGTGGAGGTACGACATTCCTCTGGCGATGTCTGTGGCGAAGGAAAACCTGGCAGACAAACACAGAATGTCTTAAACTGGAGATCGTTTATTTTTATCACCCCAGTTAACTGGTGTGTTTCTATTTCAATTCTTTGTTTTTAGTCCGAATCCTCATCCTTCTGTTTGAGAGTTTACCTGAAGCCCCAGTTGAGAGGGATCTCGTCATTGAGAAGAACGTCGTTCAGGCTTCCTTTTGGGCAGTACTCTGTCACTATGGCAACGTTTGGAGCCTCAACACACCCACCTATAAACTTACAGAGGTTGGGGTGATCGAGTTCCCTGAAGTCAGAGCGAGACAAAATAGAGCCGAAATACCAGATGAGCAATATGACAGGGTTTTATTAAATGGAGAAGGATGATGAGCGTCTTACCTGACTTGTTTGACTTCCTGTCTGATGGTTTTGGACAGAGAGAAAGTCTTTGTATGAATCCTCTTGATGGCCACTGTCCTGCCGTCACTGAAGAGGGAAATTACTTTTAATATTTCCAAACATCCGCCAACCAGTCGTCTCCATCAACATTGTAGACTTTCCCTGCTGACCAGGAGGTATCAGTCCCTATCATGCCCCAGTTTGAGATCTTTGTTGCCTCTCTTTCCCCTCATACTCAAACACATATTTCTCTGCTGTTGAATCTCTAGTAAATACATAACATGCCCAAAACTATACATTTTGTATTAAACATTATATAGACACATAGTGTTAAAAATAGAGTTTAAATGGACAGACAGGAAGTCAAACATACTATATCCCGGTGCAGGTGAACAGTATTTTTCGGTTTCCCGGTTGTCCCGTACATGAGCTGAGAGCAGTTATACAGCTGGTGTTACTGTCACTGTTTCCCACTGGTACACTCATTATACTGCCCATGGTCATCCGAGCTTCCTGATCTATAGAAAGCAATAAACAACAAATGTTTTTTTAACAGCATTATGAATTCATTTGGAACAACCTGGTCCAAGTTGCCAATGTCAAGAAGAAAACTAAAGCTTGAGTTTGATTCCTTCCCTCCATGAAACTTAATTCTTGACCTTTGGGATTGTATTTTGACGAAATAACTTCAATTTAAGGTCTATTTACTTCCATCAACTCTAACGAAGATTCAACAAAATGAAACTTCAGATGAGTTTCAAAAGTCTCAGACCTCAATTCATCAGTTTTACCGATGTCCCTCACAACTGACCGATTTAGATCTGAAGAAACTAGTTCCAAGAAGTTCAAACCGGTTTGATCTGGATCGTTACAGTACCTTGTTTTATTGTAGAGAAGTCGATGAGCCAACTCTCGTCCCACAACAGCTTCTGTTTCTGGTACCGCAGCCACTACACAGGACAGATTCTCTGATTATTTATTGATTGATATTGAGTATTTGGTGGGTTACTGTGAGTTGTGTCGAGTGAATCCTTACCACAGCAGTCAGTATGAAGCAGAGGCAGAGCAGGCTGAGCGGCAGGCCGATGGCCAGCTTGGTGGCTGGGGTCATAGGGCATTCACCACAGTCGGCTGGACAGGTGGAACAAAGCTCCGCCTCCTCACAGACACCATCACCACAAACTTACAGAGGAGAAAAGAGGACTAAGTAGTTACTTCTTTATCATTAATGTCAACACTATGTTTGAAGCAGAGACTCTGAAACAAAGTAATTAAGGAAATACAACCATCGGCGGTCACTGAAGTCTCTGTCACCGAGGACCTTCACCACACCAACATACACAGGTATAACCTACCTACAGCGGGCAGCACAGTGCTCTTGGCCTCCAGAGCAACCTGCATGCGACCAACTCGTATGTGAGCGATGAGCGAGGTTAAACCAGCATGGAGCAAAACCACCTGCAAGATGGAGCAATGAGTTTAGCAGGTTCTCAATTACCAGGTCCTGAATTTACCAAAGTAACCAAAGCCATATGGGTGGAGTTGAATTTTAGAGTGTTTCCCTACAAAAGCTTAAGTTGAGCAATCTGTAGGAAGTTTAATGAAGAGCACTGTCTTATTAATTGGCATCAGTGTTGATGATTGATTAATCCATTATTCTCTATCTAGAAAAGTTAATCAGAATCTTTAAGATTAGTATTTTCTGGCAACGCCTTGACAGAGTTTGGAGACAAAATCCGCAGCGCAAAACCCCAATCGTATCAGTACTCTCCATATCACTGTCACTGTGGCTCCTTTTCAGGCAAACCATATCCCCCTTGCTCTCTGGCTGTCAGATTGAGCGGCAATAAACTCGTCCATACTAAGATACAGATAAAATGAATTTACCTTGGCAGTCCAGTTGGTCTGGGTCATCTTGCCGGACGTAGAGATGGTGTGTGTGAAGATTTTTCCATCGTCAGGAATCCAGGGGCCGCAGATGCTCTCCGATGTCTGAAAGTGAGTTTAAATGAATACCTGCTAATTAAAATTAAATACTTATATTATCATATTTTGAAGAAGAATTTAAATAAATGAAACTCTGTAAGTTTGTACCATGTATCCCAGTGGACAGGAGTGGATGTTAGCATGATGAATGCAGCAGTTTTCTCCGTCTGCATCTTTCCAGTTGGACGGACAGTCGTGATGTTCGCAGAACCTCCGAGCTGCTTCGGCGTTTACTATGGAGCTAAACACATAAACCCGCCAGACCAGTTCGGATCGGGATAAGAACCAGTTTAGAGTCCAGTAGAATGTGTAGGTCCAGTCTGAACTCAAGCTAAAACTAACCTGTGTGTGAAGATGTGGTTTTCGACGGCCCACTGGTAGAAAAAATCCTGGGCCGTTACCGAGTACGTGACGCTGAACACCTCGCCGCTCTTCACGGCCTCAGGAGGACGGACCACCCAGGCCATCTCCAGACCTGGACGACACAATCAACAGACAGACCAAAGCAGCCACGCCCACTTAATTTGCATATTTAGATCTGATCACCATGTGGACGGAGTGGGGAAAACAGAAAAGCTAAAAAACTGTGATGAGGTCATTATCCAGATACTGTGTTTCAGTGTCGTACAGTACTTCCTGCAAGTCAGTTTAAACCAACAACGAAAAAAAACAAATATAAGATAAAATAAAACTTACAACATTTTTTTAATGTTAACGTTTCATTAAATGTTTATATTTCACATTTTCCAGCTGCTCTGCTTTTTCTGGATTTGGAGTCGTACATCAGTTCGTCTTTTTGTTTACAGGCTGAATTTCTACAGGTTATATTACTAAACGTAACTTTTTCAACCTTAAAGGCCCTAAAAATTGTTTGATTCCTGTCAATCAAATCTGATCAAAATCACACCGACTGAAGCAGAGTCAAGTTTTTGACTGTTAAATTGAATAAACTTTGATTTTTGCTTAATAAGTCATGAATGTTTAATGTTACAGAGAAATACCAAAGATTTAAAGATAACTTCAGGCTGCTCTTCACGTTCCCAGCCTGCTTTGTCTCATTAGGCTGATAATGAAACATCCCAGCCACAAATCACAAGTCTGAGTGCACAATAAAACTGAACACAGACTGTTATCAGTTTCTCACCTCCACATTCGATCATGTTGCTATCGTTGGGTCCGTCAAGAGGCCAGCAGTCGTACTCTCTGTTGTCCAAGTCGTGCCAACAACATGTCGGACCAATAAAGCAAACACACACCTGGAAAGAACAAGACACACAAATAATCCAGTAACCAGATCCTCCACAACCACATCCTCAGAAACACCTGGGCTGCTGTGTTTAAGGATAAATAAGGAAAAACAGGCAGTCAACGTGATATAAAAACATTAATTTGGCTCACAGATTTAAAGCAGAGAACAAAAGAGAAGATTTGTCCAACACATAATGACAAAATTAGACATAAACGATAATATACTAAAGATTTTTAGCCAGTAAAGAAGCATTTTATTTTTATTATTTTAAATTATATTAATTGTTTTAGAGCACACAAAAATAAGAGAAAGCATTTCATTAAAAAACAAACATCTGAATTCATATGGATTCATAAAAATTAAATTAATTTAATAAAAACATCTGTTGCTGCACTAATTTTTCTCCTCAGTATTGTATATAAAATCACAACCTATCTTGCTGCATTTTCTTCTCTACAACTTAAAATATTTTTTTTTATAATTTTGTGTTAGTAATGATCTGGCAGAAAACCACCAGAAACTCATTTTAGAGCCACACCTTCAAATTAAAATGCACTCCAGGCATATTCTGCATCAGTGTTCCAAATAATAAATAGTTACAATTGTTTTCCTTAATCAATTCTCATGAATTTAAACATAAAATAAAAATAAACTTCAGCTCAAACCTTCACTTGTTACATAATCTTACAGTTAGGATCTCAATAAATCCACTTCCTTTCTCATTAATAAATTTAGAGGTAAAAGCAGATGTTTGATTTCTCACCCAGACCAGAAACCAAAGTCTCTGTTGTTTCTTCATGTTGTTGTTGAAGGACAGACAGGTAAACAGACCGGTAGGCAGACAGGTAGACGGGGGGTCGGGGACATCTGATGCGTCTGAGCTGTTGAATCCAGACTGAGTGATGAGCAGCGCAGTAGGAGAGAGGTGTGGGTGGTCGAGTTAGGTAGGACAGACTGAAGAGAGAGAGAGAGATGAATCTAGACATTTGCACCCTGCTGCTCAAACCTGTCACACAGTCTTCAACATGGAGCTGATTGTAATATTCGCTGCCCTCTGGTGGAGGAAGCTGTTACTGCACGGACCTCTGTACTTTTAAAGCTCCAATATTCGCTGCCCTCTGGTGGAGGAAGCTGGAGGAAGCTGTTACTGCACTGACCTCTGTACTTTTAAAGCTCCATATTTCCTTCTTCTTCTGTGTTTTATTTGAAGTGTTGATCCATAAGAAGATATATTTGTGGTTTTAAGAACCAAAAACCATCTCAGTGTAGTTTTACATCTCCTCTCTCAGGCTTCTCTCTGGAGCTCTAGTAACAACAGGTCGGTGAGCCAATCAGAAGAGAGGAGGGCTCTGTTTTCTGAGTGGTCCAATAAAAATAAAGCAGATTTCAGGTAAAACACTCAGAGAAACCAAATCCTTCAAGGTTTGGATGGTGAGTCCAGGTGGGCGGGGCTTGGTGACTGCTTTGTTGTGACATCACAAAGTTCCAGAAGTCCTGACGGCTGGTTTTAAGGCTCCGTTTCTGAATACAGGCTGTGTGCATTTCTATGTGGACTGAGGCTTTGATACTTTCACAGTATTAATATAGAAGCTAGAGCTGATCTATAATCACACTACACATGGACACAGACCTTTACACTAGATGGGACCTTTAATACTACCACTATTAATACCACTATCAGTAGTGGAACTTAACTTAGTAAGCTGCTCTCTGTTCTTTTTATGGCACAGCTGTAGCTAATTACAAATTTCTTACAAATTCCCTATAAATTTAGATTTTACAATAAAATTGTGTCGGGTCGGGGTCTTTTGCCGTGTCTCAGGTGTTTTTGAGTTGTTAGCATTTCCACAAAAGGGAAATTTCTTTTTGATACGTCTCACATGGTTTAATTTAAATAACAGTTCGAGGACAGAAGAGGTCAATATATTTGACTTTATTTCACACACAAAAAAAAGTTACTAGAAAAACTTCATTTAAGTACATTTTGCTGATAATACTCGTGTACTTTTACCTGAGTTGGGTTTTAAATGCAGGACTTTGTATTTTTACATTGTCATTGCTACTTTTATTTCAGTAAAACCTCTCACCACTGATTCTTCACCTGCAGATTTTCACTGGTTCTCTTGTTCCACTGCTACTACTCCTGAGCTGTGTGAACATGACGTCGGTGGGTTGCACTGACTTCCTCCTCCATTAAGTTTGTGTCCTCGGGCCTTTACATAAACATGATGTCATGACACATAGGGACGTTTTACAGTGAAGATGTCAGCCAGGAATGTCAGCTACAAGTGTAACGGAAACACAGACAGACAGACAGACAGACAGACAGACAGACAGACAGACAGACAGACAGACAGGTTAAATGTTGTTAGCTTCATTTGTAAGAATAATTTCGTGACAAATGAGCTCAAGCTGTTTACAGTCAACACGAATGCAAACACACAGTCACACACGCCAACGGTCCATCTGTGTTTGAGTCACAACAGAGTTTGTGTGTGAAGATGAAAAAGAAATCTGTGTTTGTTTAAATCTCACAACAAACTTCCTCTCGTCTCTCCCACTCTCTCTCACCCCCCCCCCCCCCCGGGTTTGTCTGGTTCTACCGGCACGCGACACCAACCGTTAGAGCTCCAGCCACCAGTCGCAGAGTGCACGAGGACTCACTTTTTAACAATTCACTCAACGTTCTCGGAACATTCGAACGCGCGCGACGCTTCGGTACACGAACCGAAGAATTAAACAAGATTTTTTCAACTCCGTAACAACTTTATCTTAATTACCGCTTGTTTTTAACGACAGAAAACTTGGGTTCGTTTGACATTTACCGATTTCAACATCAAAGGAGAAGGATTTAACGGCCATTTTCACCTCAACGCTAATTTAATTATATGTTTCCAACATTTTAAATCAATTTTTTTTTAGCTACTCCGTTCTTATATTTCACCTGTTGCTTCACTTTTAACGACATTTTGACGTTTGCACCGGCTCCGTGACGTCGTGCTGAGATGAGGTTTCAAACCGCTGCCAAAGGTGGATATTAGCTTGTGCTTTTGTCCAGAACCGGACAGGGACCAGGACTAGGACCAGAGTGGACTGTGTTTGTGTCCCGGGTTAAAGGAGGAAGATGTTGACCCGGGTCAGCCTGGTTCTGCTGTCCTGGTTCTGTATATGGAGCCAGGGTCAGCTCTTGGATTATGAGAGGTCGGTAATTTATCTTTTTGTTTTACCATTTCTGAATGAACAGGTCAACAGACATCAGTGTTTTCACTGTGTCTGAGGTTGTGTATGCTAAATTAATTCTGATTTTATAAATGTTTCTTCCTTTAAAAATGTTTTCCTGTAAGTTTTTTTGAAAATAAGTTTTGATTGTAGTGATTGTATCCTTATTATGAGAATTATCCTTAATAAAAATACCAATAATAACACATTTCATATGTGGTGCCTTTAAGGTACACACAAACAAAAGAGACCAATAAATATCTGATATTAACCATTACAAACAGTTTGTTTGTGATACCAGAAAGTGATTTTTACACCAACTGCATTGTGCTGTTTTACATCTATTGTATATACTTTTTTTCTGACTAACTGCTGTTACTGATTCTATTTTACATTTGACTCATTAACCTGACTGGTTGTGGCTCAGAGGGAGACTCCTGCACACAGTTCCTATTCTGAACAAAGTCAAAAAAAATCAAACATAATTCTCTGAGTAGTAAAAGACAAAAAAAGGGGAGAGATGGATGAATAATTAATGTTCATGGGCTCATTGATTCATTCATTCATTCATACAGAAATTGCTTTGAAACTGAAACTGAAATTTAACTGGAGACAGGAAGAGAAGAAAATCGAGGCTGTGTGAGTTAAACATGAAAGAAGAAAGCAAAGAAGAAATAATGATTCACAGAAACTGAGAGGTGGTGGAGAGTGTGAGGGGAGGGAGAGAAAGTATGTAGGGGGAGTGGAGAGAAGACAAGTATCCTGCCCTCTCCTTCTGCTGCTGATATAATTCATGTTCAGACAGGCGTGTGGAAACAGGAGATGTGGAGGACGTATAGACACACTTCAGCCGGTCTGAACTAGAACAGACGCCGCAGACTGAACAGTCTCTTCACTGCAGCCGTGGAGAAACTCTCAGATCAGATTTCTACGTCCCCGGTTGTTTCTCCGTGTTTGCCGTCCATGCGTGAATATGATGTGACGTGTGTAAAATGTGAATTATATATATTTGTAATTGTGTGCTTGCAGCTGGGCGGACCAGGCGGCATTGTCTAACGGTCTCTGTCGCTATGGCAACAGTGTGGAGTGTTGCTGGGGCTGGAGACAGATGGATCGAGGGCGCTGTCGGCGTGAGGAAACACAAACACAAACATTTACACCCTGAGACCAAACCAGTGGTTTTACATATCTCTCCAACATCCAATCAGATTCTAGATCGGCAGCCATTAGTTTCACTTTGTTTCCAGGTTTTGACGTATCTGTCGCTCAGAGCTCACAAAGCAACATCTCCTGTTTCTCTGGATCATCCACAGACTGACAGTGACTGAATCTGAATCAGAATCAGAATCTGAGTACTTTATTGATCCCCAGGGGGAAATTAGGTCACGTTACAGTTGCTCCCTCAAGAATGGAAATGTAACAGCAAAGAATAGAGAATAAGAAGTAAGACTATAAAATATACGGAAGAGGATTAGGGCCACATGTGAAAAAACTAAAAAAGAAAACAACAACAATTTCACGTGGCCCTAATCAGCTTCCGTTAATATTGCTCTTGTCTGAAAGTGAAAGTGAATTGCACAGGTAGTATAATAATGATAGTCAATCATGGAGTAACGTCAGCTGACATCTATCGACTCTAAGCGTCCGACACTCTCAGCACAGGTTGTAAAGTTTGAATGACTTCCTGTGGTGCAGCAGCTATGGTCGACCGACACCAGCTGCTGCCTGGAAACAAGGAAGTAAATCCAAGCTCTAATGTAGGAACGATTCATGGGTTAAAACATGTAGAATCACAGCTGTAAAGTTACTGTACAGGGACATGATGATGAGGTCAAAGGGTTCGTTCAGGGTCGTTTAAACCCTCTCCAAACATATGTGTATACAGCTAGCCCTATCTGTGTGTGTGTGTGTGTGTGTGTGTGTGTGTGTAGCTCACTGTCAGCAGGGCTGTAAACATGGAGAGTGTGTCGGACCAGACAGATGCAAATGTCACCCGGGATACACCGGCAAGGCCTGTAACCAAGGTAACCGCGTGTGTGTGTGTGCGAAGAAGCCACAGCTTTCTGTAGTTTCACGGAGATTTGATTTCCCATCATGCCTCTGACTAAAAAAAAGTGAGAGACACATTCCTGTCATGCTTGTTTGAGCTGCGAAGGCGTGTTTTACCTGAAGACCCCTCAAAACACACACACACACACACACACACACACACACACACAGACTGCTGTTTCCAAACTTAGACAAGTGAACTCCACCCACCTTCACACACAGTGTTAATCTACTGATTAGAGGCTACATTATGAGTCATATCCTGACTATAAAACAACATCTGGCATCAAACTGAGCCTTCACACATTCACTCTGTAATATAACACCACACACACACACACACACACAAAAACACACACACACACACACACAAAATGCTCTTTGTGTCTAAAAGGGCTGAAAGTCAAAGGTTAATCCCACAAGTCGACAAGAAGAGTGAAAACAGAGAGAAAATGTGCTCTCAGCTTAATATTTGATTACCTGCCCCTTCCCCTCTGTGTGTGTGTGTGTGTGTGTGTGTGTGTGTGTGTGTGTGTGTGTGTGTGTGTGTCAGATCTAAATGAGTGTGGTCTGAAGCCTCGGCCCTGTAAGCATCGCTGCATGAACATACCGGGCAGCTACAAGTGTTACTGTCTGGACGGATACACACTGCAGCCAGACGGCAGCTGCAGGAGTGAGTTCACACACACACACACACACACACACACACACACACACACACACACACACACACACACACACACACACACACACACACACAGTTTTTTTATGGCTGGTTTGAACTTGTGATCGAAATTGTTGAACTGATGTATTTCTTCTTCCATGTGTGTGTTTGTGTGTGTGTGTGTGTGTTTGTGTTCTTACAGACGCTCGAACCTGTTACCATGCCAACTGTCAGTACGGCTGTGAGGTGTCCAAGGGGGCGGTCCAGTGCACCTGCCCATCACCTGGGTTACGGCTGGGACCTGATAGACGCACCTGTGTCGGTCAGTCAGTCGGTTTGTGCTGCTGTTTAATGAAGCACTGAGGTGAAACTGATCCTCTCTCTCGCTCTCTGCAGACATTGATGAGTGTGTGTCGGGCGGCGGTGTGTGTCCTCGTCACAGGAAGTGTGTGAACACGTTTGGGAGCTTCATGTGTAAATGTCACCTTGGCTTCAAACTCACGTACATCAATGGACGGTACATGTGCATTGGTGAGGCGGCAGGATTTGTTTGTATTAATCTGCCCTTTAAACTTTGATGTTAAGATGCAGCTTAAAGGAGCTATATGTAGGATTTTTGGTAATGCTTCATAGCTAATATTAGCATTAGCAGCTGTTTACTTACCAGTTTTGCCAAGGCCTTCAGCCATGGTTGCATTAACAAAGCCAGAGGTTATGATATGTGTCGAGACAGATGGATGACGGAAAATGATGAAACAACGGCACTAGATAGTAAGCATGCTAACTTCAATCTAGAAGAAAGTTCAGCATCAAACTTAATTTACTCACCAACAGCTGTCTCCAGAGTTGGAAGGAACTCCACAAGTTTGTTTTATTTCTATCACGTCTTTTCTGCTACCGAAGTTAGCATGCTAACCAGCTAGCTTTGGCCTGTCTCCTCACTTCCTGATACTGAGTCACTGTAGCGTCTAGTCTTCCCTGAAGAAGCAGAAGCTCAGAGGATGTACTATAACCTATTGTCCTGTAAAAGAAACAATGGCTGAAGCTCTTGGCACAACTGGGAAGTAAACAGCTGTTAATGCTAATGCTAGCTATGTAGCATTAGCAAAACTAACAAATAGCTCCTTTAAACTCAAACTTTTCCTTTGTCAGAAAAGCTGCTTTACAACATCCAATAAATAAGTAATAATTTCATCATAATCTTTCCTTCTGTGTCCAGATAAAGACACGAGGCCGTTCTGCTCTCTGAACCCATCCTCTCCAAAGTGCAGGTGTAAAGACGGCAGCTGTAAAGGTAACAACACCATGTGTGTGTGTTTGTATTTTAGCCAGTCAGACCACAGCATTACAGCTAATGGCTAACAGCTAACGGTAAATCAGACAGTTTACTGAGTTTGTGTCTGTTTTCTCTCAGCTGTTCCCAAAGTCACTCTGGAGCCACAGAGACCAAGAACTACAACTCCCATCACCACCACCACCACTGCTACTACTCCTCCTCCTCTTACTACTATGACTACAACTCCGCCTGTTATCACGACAACCATCGCAGCAACTACCCCAGCTTCTTCTACAGCTGCTACTAAGACTGAAACAACCACTCCAACACCTACTGCTACTACTACTACTTCTGCTGCTACTACTACTGCTGCTACTGCTACTACTACTACTACTACTACTACTACTTCTGCTGCTACTACTACTGCTGCTGCTGCTACTACTATTACTACTACTACTACTACTTCTGCTGCTACTACTGCTGCTGCTACTACTACTACTGCTGCTATTACTGCTGCTACTACTATTACCACTACTTCTGCTGCTTCTACTGCTGCTGCTACTACTGCTACTACTACTACTACTTCTGCTGCTACTACTGCTACTACTACTACTGCTGCTGCTATTGCTACTTCTGCTGCTACTACTACTGCTGCTGCTACTACTACTTTTGCTACTACTACTACTACTGCTGCTACTACTGTTACTACTACCACTGCTGCTACTACAGCTGTTAGTACTACTGCTTCTACTACAGTTCCAAGTACAACACTTCCTACTGCTACTACCACAACAACACCCCTTACTTCAACTACTATTCCAAGTACAATGACACCTGTTACTACGACGCAACCTCCCCCTCTGCCTACAACTGAGCTGGAGACTACAACTCCAACAAATCCTGCCACTAGTACAACCATTACTACTGCCACTACAACGGTTGCCCCGACAACCCCAATGCAGCCCACAACCATCGCCATGGTATTGACCACACTGAACAACAGGATCAACAAGGATGTGACACACAAACAGAGAGGAGACGTGCACAGTGAGGATGCACACACATGCTTTAGGGCTGCAATGATTGGTTGATTAATTGATTATTGATTGATTGATTGGTTTCCTGAGTTGTTGATGGAAGTGAACTGAAGATTTCTTAGTTGTAGATGTCAGGTTGAGCTTTGGGGTTTGTTTTTTTGACCAATTTCTGACATTTCACAAGCAATGAAACATGTGTGTGTGTGTGTGTGTGTTGCAGTCCCTCGACATCCCGATCACAACAACCACGTGTGGGAGTTTGACATCGAGCTGGGAAACACCGCCGAAGATGCCAGAGACGATCCAGGTCAGTGAGCGTTTGTTTGTCTTCAAAATGTGACCACCCTGATGCTGTGTATTAACGTGTGTGTGTGTGTGTGTGTGTGTGTGTGTAGAGGCTGGCGTGCTTCACTGTACCTTCGATCAGGGAGTGTGTGATTGGCTGTCAGACAGAGACGGAGATCTTCACTGGGAAACTTCTCTCAACCCTGCAGGTGACAAACAAACATCCAATGTTTTTAACCTACAGTCTTAGTTTCATGTATTTTGACCATGGTAACTGTTGTACTGTAATAAACTACGGTGAAGGCAGACTGATAATATGGTGACTCCCTACCTTTGAAGCAGTCGTGAAGTCTTATTGTCTATCCATTCCTCAATTATTTATATTCATTTAGTTCGTGAGAGTCCACAGATCAAAATAATCAAAAGCATTTTTCATAAAAGGTTGTGAATATCATGTGAAGTGCATCGCAGACAGTCCAGCTGCTTCTTCTCTTTGTGTCACGTCACTGTGAACTCAAAGTCAAAAGTTTCTTTGGTTTTATTGATGTTTTTTTTTTATTATTATTTAATTAAATTTTTGAACATGTAACAAACCAAATTAAACTTAACACTAATGATGGTGACACAAAAACAGAATTTTAACGATAATGTGGATGAATTTTGTCTCAGGTGGGCGGTACCTGTCTGTCCCACAGCTGAAGGTGGGACAAAGGAGCATCCGTGGCGCCCGATTGGCTGTCCAAATTGTCCCACCCTGGAGCCTTGGTGACCTGTGTTTCTCCTTCTCCCATTGGCTGACGGGGCATCATGTGGGTGTGCTGCAGCTGTTCACCAGGAAGAAGGGGCGGGACCAAAGGTACCAGAGCTTCAATGTAAAAAAAAAACTATTTTTTAAATACTTTCTGTTGGGATCCCTTGTCAAATCTTGGTTCCTGATTGGCTGCTCCAGGTATAGCCCTGCCCTCTGGAGCAGGACAGGTGGGCATGGTTGGAGACACACGCAGGTTACCTTGACGACACACTCTCTGGACAGGGTGAGACATACAGACACACACAGGTAAATGTTGAGTTTGTGTGAGCATCTGCGTCGTCGTTGGCGATGACGTCTGTGTGTGTGTGTGCGTGTGTGTGTGTGCGTGTATGCGCAGGTGGTGTTAAAGGCTGAGCGGAGGCGGGGACGGCGTGGACAGATCGCTGTTGATGATGTCACACTGAGACAGGGGGCGTGTAGATGACATCACTGCAGTACGAGGACCACACTGCTGTTTTCAGTGTCTCGGCCCTTAAACTGTAAATCCTGCGAACGTCACGTCGACTTGTCAAACTGAAGGATGATAAACACCAGCGGGGTTGACAGAGGGTGAAGATCCTGTGACCTTCGACCTGGAAACTGTCAGTCAGCAGATGAAAGTGAAGCAGCAGGTTAAAACCAAACGGTCAGAGTCAAACATTCATAGAAACTGAACTTTGTTCCTGTTCCAGTTTTATTTTTTAACCTGAGTATTTTCACCTGAACTTCAAGCAGGTGAGATTTGACATTGATATGTTCTTCAGTTGTGATGATGGCGGCTCTGACCCTCATATGAACCATGAAGCTCAGGATAAATGAGCTTTTCACAGCTGTTTGTATGTGGAGAATTAAAGACGTTTCTCCACCAGGGGCAGAAACATCTCAGCCGGTGCAGTTTTATCAAGTCTAATTAGCCATGAGTCATTTATGATTAATATCAAATCAGTGACAGAGTCTTTGTGTCAGTACATTGTTTAAATGACAGTCTTGCACGGGGGTGTACAGGAGAGGACTAGGGCCACATGGGAACTTTTTTTGTTCAATCTCAGAATTCTGAGAAAAAAGTCAAAATTCTGAGATTAAATAATAATAATAATAATAAAAAACGTTTTACATGTGGCCTTAATCCTCCTCTGTACACCCCCATGCAGGACTGGGATCCGAGCAGCTTCACAACAATTAAAGACACGGGCCGAAGAAATGAAACAAAATGTTAACGAAAACACCTGAAAACAAATATTCAATGTTTTTTAACCTCCGACTAAAGTTTGCTCTGGTCCAGTTTGTAAACTCGTACCTGCTCCACAAAGCTAAAGGGTCCAAGCCCCCCTTATATTTCATATACTGTCGCCCCCCAGTGGTCACGGGCGTAACTGCATCTTGATGACGAGCGGTATGTTCGTCTGAACTTCTTCTTCTTTTGTCTTAGAAACGTCTGATTTCACCAAAATAATGAATCTGTGTTAAGAGATTAACAGCTGAGAGAAAGAACATTAATTAACCTTCTCTGAAGTTTTTGATTTTTTATTTCTTGTGTGTAAATATCTGTTGAGAGACCAGATGAGTGGTTTTGTCTTTACTGATATGTATCATTTGTATTGATAAACTTATTGATTAATTTAAACAAACCATTGAGCCTCTTCATTTGCGTCTGTCATTTACAACAGAGAAGAAGAGCTGGGTGTTTTAATGTGTAATGAACTGTGATAACTGATTGACAGGTGATGTCAATAAGAAGTTATATTATTTTACATTAGACTAGAATATATCTTTCAATTAATTTTCAGTTAATCTGAAAATGTATAAGACGGTTAAAAAAAGACACGTCCTGAAGCTGATGTCTTTAAAGTTTATTATTACAGTTTTATTTTATTATTAAAAATTGTTGAATTAATTTTCTGTTTGATGGTCAAATGGTCAAATACTTGACTGAAGCAACCTCCAAGATTATTATCAGGAAATTACATGAAGTGACGTCTTATCTCTGATGTAAATGTGTTTGGATGTGACATGTTTATGTTTCTTATGTCCTGTGGAGTAAAAGAGTTCAGTCCATTAATTGATTAATAGTTATTTTGATAATTTGATAATCATTTCAGTTGTTTTTCAAGCAGGAAATGTCAATTTTTTGTTGTTTCCAGCTTCTGAAACGTGAAGAGTCGATGTTTTTATTCGTCATGTCACAGAACTGAACTGAACGTCTGTGGTTTGTTGTCGTCTTCGACTCAATAAGTGAAAAGTTGCTCCTCCTCAATAATCGACCTTTAACTTCAGCTGCAGGGAAAGAGAGGAGGAGGAGGAGGAGGAGGAGGGGGGCAGTAACCTGTCCGGTGATTTGTGTTTAACATCTGGTTTAGAGGAGACACACACACACACACACACACACACACACTGATGGGCGGTGCAGTCAGAAACCTGATTGTTAGTTTACAGTGAGCTCGACAGATTCCTCAGTTTATAGACAAAACATGAATGTGAAGAGTAAAACCTGTGATTTAGCTTCCTGTGCCTCTGTGTGTGTGTGTGTGTGTGTGTGTGTGTGTGTGTGTGTGTGTGTGTGTGTGTGTGTGTGTGTGTGTGTTTACAGCTGCTTGTTAACCCTGTAATTACCACAACAACCTCTCCACTCTCTCCTCACTCAGCTCCAGTCTTCTCCCTCTGCTGGTCACCAACATTGAAATCAAAAACTGTTTATAAACTCAAAATCGTCTCCATTTTATCTTCATTTTGAATTATTCTGTCAAATATTTTTACATTAACCTGATTAATCATTTCACTTACTGAAGCAATCAATCAATTAATCTACTGGTTGAATGACAGAAAAATATTCTGATAAATATCAGTTAAAGCCTTTTTATTGGGGTTTTGGTTCATTATGTCAAAAAGTCAAAGGTAAATGAACACATTCATTTACACATTTACACATTCACATGAACGGACCTCAAACAGACAAACATACATTCATAAAGTTAATAAATAAGATTTTCACAGGACTTTGTCGCATGTGACAGTAAACGCAACATCTTTAGGTTCTGGACAGTTGGTTGATCATAAACAGTTATAGTGGAGATATTTCACTGTTTTCTGACCATTTATACACTTAATAATTAAATGAGAATCGTCTTAAAGACAAAAATATTTCTAGCTTCATAAATCATAGAGAAAAACCTCAAAGTGCAGGAGCAGAAAACATCACGCAATTTTATTCCTCCACGCCAGTGACACACTTTGAGGGAACTTCTTCAAATTTGGCACAAACATCCACGAGGACTCAAGGATGAACTGATTAGATTTTGGTGGTGAAAGGTCAAGTGACTTCATGCAGAAATTACAGTTGGTATTTGATATGACTGGATAAACAGGGATGTAACCTTAATGGAGAAGGTGATTCTAGTTCTTGAAGAAATATCACTTGATTATTAAGCCTTAATATTAAATACCAAATGACACAGGTCTCATCATGAATCATCCTACAAAATTATTATGAAATTGAGGACCTGTAAAACAAAGGATTGTCCCTGATATAAAAGTAAACTGTTAAAAATGTAAAAAAAAAAACTTCTTTCATTGTTTTTTATTTCCCATATTAAGACCTATCACTGTGATAATACGATGATAGGAACTTTTACATTGTCGCCGGCCAGACCAGATCGTATACTTGTTATATACTTCACCTGCTTCAGTTCAGTTCTGAATGTTTGATCGTCTTCATTATAATAAAAAGTGTTCTGAGAAAACATTATTTGGCCTCCGTATTATTACAGGGTCGGATGTGAGCCAATTTTCAAGTGGACCATGAGTTGGAAAAGGTTGGGAACCACTGCAGTAGACTGTGACTGTACATTAGACTGTACCGAGTGTATGATGAGGTGTAAATTACAACCAAATGTGCTTCTCATATTCGTCCATCTCGGCTCAGACGCAGCGGTGTCTCTTCAGCTGGTTGGAGAACGTGAAGTGTTTCTTACACCGGTCGCACCAGTACGGTTTCTCTCCGGTGTGAGTCCGGACGTGTCTTGACAGATTGGAGGACGTGATGAAGCTTTTGCCGCAGTGCTCGCAGCGGTACGGTTTGTCTCCGGTGTGGACCCGTTTGTGCAGCAGACACGTTGTTATGTGACTGAAGCTCTTCCCGCACCGGTCGCAGCTGTACGGTCTCTCTCCTGTGTGGACGCGCTCGTGTTCGGAGTGGTTGGTTGACGACGTGAAGGTTTTGTCGCAGAAGCGACACCGGTACGGTCTCTCTCCGGTGTGGATCCGCTGGTGGACTGTGTATGAGGAATAATGGCTGAAGCTCCTCCCACACAGCTCGCAGGGATAGAGCTTCTCTCCCGTGTGGAGACGCCGGTGTCTCGTCAGGTTGGACTGCGTGAGGAAGACTTTGGAGCAGAGTGGACACTGGAAAGTTTTGTCACCGCTGTGGATGTGTTTGTGTTGTTGGCATGAGAATGAATCGGTGAAGCTCTTTCCGCAGTATTCACAACTGTACGGTTTCTCACCGGCGTGTCGCCGCTGATGGAGCTTTAATGTTCCCGACTGCGTGAAAGATTTCCCGCACTCGTCACAATGGTGCGGTTTATCTCCACTGTGGATTCGGTGGTGAGTTCTTAAGCTGCTCAACTGAGTGAAATCCTTTCCACACTGGTCACAGTGATGCGGTTTGTCTCCGGTGTGAACACTCTGATGGTCCTTCAGGTGTTGTGTTGATGTGAAGGCTTTGTCACAGAACTGACAGCTGTGAGGTCTGGGTCTCTGTTTGCCTCTCCGTTTCTATGGTGACAGACAGAAATACAAAGACAGGGTGAGTGATGTGGAATGACATCACAAGAGCTGTGGCCCAATTCGGAGGATGCACCTTCGAAAACGGCACCTGTAACCACACCCAGCAATGATGTCACACTGATATAATCCAATGAATCGATCTCGCTGATACTGACGTGATTACCTGACTCAGATATCGGCAGATTAACATTAACAGCACCACAGGTTAAGTTTTACTTACCTGCTCTGAGGAACTCATGATGCCTCCTCTTCAGTTTCTCTTCCCATCGTTCAGCTGTGATGTCAAACAGAGACAGTCATAAAGCAGGGAGCAGTTCATTGACAGTAATAATAATAATTTTGTTAATAATATTAATACATCTTAACAGGATATAAAGGAATGAGAAGTTAGAAAAGTTAACGAACAAGCATCACTCTTCTACATTTCTATTTCAGATATGTGAAAGCAAAAAAGCCCACTAGACCACATGACATGAGACCAAGTCTAGATCAGAAAACCACTACATGTACTAGTGATCTGGACTCGATTAACAGGGAGAGGGTTTTGTTTTTGAGCAGGCATTACTCTATCGGTGAAGAGCAGACTGGACCTAATACAACTGCATCTCGTCTTGGACTGGATATAAAGACTGTTCCTAGTCCACCACAACAATAAACGCTGTAAACAATCAGAGAACCGGTTTTATCTTTTTAATTTTCCGTTAATTTCCCCGCCTTAAATTAATATCTCTATCTTTAGTTTCTGAATCAAACTGTTGCTCAGTTTAAACCGCACCATCCCGCTTCCTGTCTCCGCGCGCTTCGCTGAAATGGCTCGTTCTATCCGGAAGTTAAGTGGGTTAAACTTGGACAGCTTCACTAACCGCCGGACACAGACACCGCGGGGGAAAAAAACCCGATACATCACCTGTTCTCTGTGTTTATCATCCTCTCATCAACGCCCGGCCGCCATGATGCGCTGTAGACCCGTGTGGTGTTCAGGTTGCGTCACGTGACTGACGAAACGTCGGCGCCTTAAAGGGCCAGTTCGCCCAAATCTGTGCAGCCTTGAACTAACTGTTGTCAAGGGCGGACGGCAGACGGTGAAGTCTGAGTTAAGGTTTCCTTAAAATAAAAAAATGGTTGCGCAAAACACAAGAGCATCATCAGCACATCATGTTGTGTGGCGTTGGTTATTTTAACTTGTAACAGACAGCACTTTTAGATTCCTTCATGTTGTTGTAAACACAGTCACCACCAGAGGGCAGCAGCATGAACAGATCTGGGTCTATTTTGAGCTGGTTTCTATTTACAGCCAAACTGGGAAGCAGTCAGAGCTTCATGGTCTGGACTCAGTGAGTGATGGATTCATAATGTTTTTATAACTTCCAGGTCTCCTGATCCAGGTTTCTCTACTGGTCTGGAAAGTCCTGAAAACTTTTGAAGTTCATTTTGATCATGGAAAGTTTGGAAACTGCACAAAAGCTAAGAAAATATTCTCATTATTCAGTCTGACTCCTCCATAAATATTCACTTTAACTCATAATGTACAAAAGTTGAATTTGTCACTCACATTTTTTTACCCCCATGTTCTTCTTATGGTAAATCTGACTGTTGTTTTCACATCACGTCTGTCAATCACCTGGAATGAGAAGGGAGTGTCATGTTTATCATTTTAAATAAGATTATGTGTCAACAAGTGCAACATTATTGTAAATATTAGAATTCCCTGCTTTTACACTAGAAATACCTGTTGAAAGATTCAATTCACACTCAGAGATTTAAAGTATGATTGGCATGAATTTTTCATCTGTCACATGTGGAATCCACATCTGGATATATTCTGGATAATTAGGCTTTTTAGATAGATAGATAGATAGATAGATAGATAGATAGATAGATAGATAGATAGATAGATAGATAGATAGATAGATAGATAGATAGATAGATACTATATTAAATGGGCTCATTCAATATATCCAAAAACTTAAGGTTCAACTCACCAATAAATGTGTAAATACAGGAGATCACACGTTTAGTTTCTGTTTTAAATGATAAAGTGTTATTTGTAGGGTTGTTGACTTGTTTTATGATGAATCTCTTCAGCTGTAAATATCAACAAAAGTGAGTGTGATAAATTATATTCTAAAGATCTTATATTTACCTACTTTCAATACCGGACATGAACTTTTAATGGAGTCTGTTGTTACTTTTATTGAACTGAGAGAGAGTGAAGAAAAGTTACATGTTGCTAAACAGAAACTTTGAGTTTTCAAACTATTTTTTTCCTGCAGCTTCGATTTAAAAAAAGAAAAGAAAGTTCCTTCTTGTTGCTACGAGCGGCAGCCTCTCGCAGCGTGCACTGTGATTGGCCCGCAGCCTGTCACCTCGGGCCAATCAGATGCCAGTGCGTCCGCCATGAGAATCCATCATTCTTCTTTTTTTTCATCATCACTACTACGATTTATTATCGATACTACGTTAATATGAACGTGCGGCCTGTTTGTGCAGCTCGTGTCCGTCGTGTTGACGCTTCGTCTTGTCAATCTTCTCCTCCACCTCCAGGATATAAATATAAATATGTGTTTGTTTAATAACGTAAACATGTTGTCATTGGTGTGAATGTTAGAAGACAAAAAAACAGACGAAGGTTCAGTTTCTGTTATTTTCTTCGGTTATTTCACGACAGACTCGTGCGCCTCCACTGCAGGGCTCGGTGCTGTCACTGGCTGGCGGCTGTAATGGCGGGTCTGTCGAGTTTGAAAAAACACCCACGCGCGGAATATCCGGTTTAAGTAACATTCGATTCTTCTTTACAAAATAAAAGTTTTGCTTTTTTTTTTTACATGACTTTTCGTCAAGGGTGGAATCACATTTATTAAAGTACTTTACTTATGCTCGGTTTAAGGTAGTTTTAATGCTGTGCCTTTGTTTGCGCAAATATAGCATCATGGGAATAAGGAATAAAGTGAACAGTGGCGGAGCCAGGGATTGTAAAAATTCGGGGCTTATCCCTAACTTAAGTCGATATTCAGGGACACGCTCCCCCGGGGAATTGTAACTGTATCAAGCCATTTGCACATCTTTTGGAAAAACATGAAAGTTGACCAAGAAAAGAAATCATTCTTAGTCTGCATCATATTTTGAATCTGATTGTTCTCTGTCTCCATCATTCTGAAACCACAACACAACAGATTTTGACAATGACTAATTTTTACTACTACCAAAATTGTCTGATGAGACTATTTTGAATTTATTATGACATAGGTGGGGAATGAATTTGTCATAAACAGCGTCGCTCATCTTGACACCTAATGGACAAAGCACATACAATCATTGTAAAAGTCCTGTAATACATATTAGCATATAGAGTTGTGAAAAATAAGCTACAAACAAAATAATTGCCCTTATATGTGAGCATATATAGTCCGTGATATAATATAAATGTTCGTACATGACCATATATACGATTTTCGTATGTGAAAACGAATGGCAGAGACCGTTCGGTTCGGTACGGGCTTTTATTTTGAAACCAACATAAGCGACAAGGCGGAAGTGTGTCGTCTCGTGCCGCGGGGACTTGACGAGCCGCTGGCGCTGATGGCGGCGGGGCTGGCGGAGGGTCGCACCGAGGAGGGAGAGCGAGGAGGCGGGGAACCGGAGAGACAGAGAGAGGAGGCCCCGGCGGTGCCGAGCACCAACACACGGACGGACGAACAGTAATTACACCGACAACAACAGCAGCGAGGCCCGCAGACGGACGCGGAAGAGGATGGACGGAAAGACGGAGTGGTACGATTGTTTTTGTTTATTAGCTACCGGGGGATTTTGCCGTTAACAACAGCTGGAGGGTTCGTCTGCAGGCTGGGCAGCTGAGAATACACACACTTATAATATACATACAGTGAATACTGCATTCAGTCAGTGTACACAGGCTCCGGTGGAGTAAAATAAAACCAGAATGTGTGTGAACTGATTATATTGTCACACATGTACAATATGTCCACATATGGCCTCTATGTACTACTGGATATTTATATATTTATGTGTGTGTGCTGCGTTCACTGACCATAAGCCATCATGTTTACCACGCTGCAAAGGCAGTCGTTTCATAGCAGTTTCGGGGTGTGTGTGTGTGTGTGTGTGTGTGTGTGTGTGTGTGTGTGTGTGTGTGTGTGTGTGTGTGTGTGTGCAGCACTGCAGCATGCAGGCAAAACTTGGCCTTGTGAGAAACTCTTTACAGACCACCAACGTTTCCTGTGAGTCTAACTGAACTCTGTTTTGACTCTGCAGTAGTGTGTGTGTATGTGTGTGTGTGTGTGTGTGTGTGTGCGTGCGCGAGTGCGCGCGCACGCTCGTATGTCTGTCATTGTGAGGACTATAGTGTGGAGGACGTTTTGGCAGGTCTTCACTCAGGGCTGAACATTTAAAGAGCTGTTTAAGGGTCAGGACTTGGTTTTAGGATTTAGGATCAAGATTTAGTTGGTGGTAGTTAGTTGATCACAAAGTGGATGCTACTAACAATTATTTTCATTACAGATAAATTAATAATTTGGTCTATAAAACAGTTAAAATGTCTTGTTTTGTCTGACTGACAGTTTCAAACCTCACATGGAACCATCACATTTTTGACATTTTTGCTTGAAAAATGACAAAGGATTAATGAATTATGAAAAAAGTTGGCCATTCATTTTCTGTTGATTGAAGTCCTACCTGCTGAAGCTTCATATTAGCTGTGCCTGAAATATCACATTAGCACAGAGTGGGGACTGTGGATTTTGTATTACATTGCTTACAATGAAGTTGCTTTAGAAAGGCACATCTTTGCTGCCAGTATGGAGAGGCTGGGCAATTTAAGTGACCAACAGTGCTTTCACTGCACATACGGGCATGTGAGTATTGTTGGAAGTCAGACTTGAAAAAAAAGTGAACTTATCCTTAAAGGTTAGGGCCCAGAGAATGCATTATATCAGTGATTGTCCTCACAAGTATAGATGTACAAACTTGTGTGTGTGTGTGTGACATGGACAGAGAGGGAGCATTGTGTCGGCTCGTGGTTTGAGCCAGTGCAGTGACGAATATCAAATAGGCCTGTAGTAGTGGACATTTCAGTGTGTGTGTGTGTGTGTGTGTGTGTGTGACGTACTGTCGTGCTGTTCATCAATAAACTATTGTATTTTTTCTTTTTCTCTTCTCTCCAGTTCAGGCCCTCCTATTGGCCGTCATCCTGTCTCACTCCACCAGCCGGTACTCTACCACAGCTGCAGTACTTGTGGTGTTTAGCGTCAGTCATCAGCACCACTACCTGTGTTTGCTAGTTGAGATTTATTGAACCATCAGAGAGTCTGCAGCTGTAAGGGGTGCTACTCAGATTTTGTTGCTAACAGACCTGCAGCTACAACCATAGGCCCCTGAATCATTTCTATCTTGTTGTAATCTTTCTGGTGATGAGCTCAAACAAGCACAAACAAAACAAGTATTCCCACCTGCTCTGAAAATGTAGATTAGCTTCATTTTGAGGCTACTTGGGGTTAGCAGCTAAGAGCTAGTGCACCAAACACCTGCCCCCCTCCAGAAGTAAAATTCAGTTAGAAAACAAATTAGCTAAAAATGTAGTTGGATTCTGACCAGGATCACGTGTTTAGTTGCTAACGGCTAGTTAGCGGCTAGTGGTGAGCAGGTAGCGGTGGCGCGGGGCTAAGTCCGGGCAGAGCAGGGGTGCGATGGAGTACCACTCCGGTGGCAGCCTGCCCCTGCTGGGGAGACCACGGTACTGCCCCGGGGCCAACGCTAATGGAGGATACCTGTGTGAGACGGGACACTGCTGCGGAGAGACCGGCTGCTGCACCTACTACTACGAACTCTGGTGTAAGTTGGTCATACTCATGTTCCCTGTTAGCATGGTTAGCACATTGCTAAGTTAAAACAGGTTCCACCACACAAGTTCACACAATCTGTTGAGATTAGTTGGTGGTAAATATTTACACCCAAG